AACCGTATCGAACGCACTGTGATGTCCCTGTTCATGCTGGGCTCTAGTTAGCTGTATGCGTCGTTGTCGTTCCTCTGGTGATGCTTGTGCATATACGGGTTGGTCGGCAGCGTTCGCCATTGCTATCGAAACCTCACGGGCTATATCCAAGCACTGAAAACGTGATGTAAGGTTGGGTTCAGCATAGCCTAATCGTTGCATAAACGCCTCCGGTAATATATAGCCATCAGGAGGGCCCACGCGAGCAATAACCGTATACCCGCACGGTGACTTGCCACGCGTATATTTAGCGAATTTCAAAAACGTGTGCGGTGTTCGTGGAACTATCACCGGTTCTCTCTACAGGAGTAACTTACATAATTCAAATCACGGAGCCCGTGGGACCCAGGCAAACATACTGTTGCTAAGGCACTCTCTGCCTTGAGCTTCCGTACCATCCTTTGAATATGCTGCCACGGCGGGTTCATCCAATCGGTAGTTGTGGACCAATCATGCACAAAGGCACCCCTTGAGCGTCGTCTGTCCAGAAGCGCTCGAGCTGTACATTCTTAGGGTACGCAAACACATCGATATCATTTGGTCTAAATATTGGATGTGCTTGCTGGAAGTAATCCGGGGATAGCTTCCAGCACTCGGCATACATGGTCTCTATGACCTCTACCTCTGGTATCCCTTCGTAGACTCTAATCAGCATATCCGGGAGGATGTTCTTTCTCCCCGAAATATGGGAAATTGTAAAGTTAAAGGATGCTATCAGGTGATTCCATCTCTGTAACATTGGGCTCAGCTTGAGTTGTGAATTCATATATACTAACGCCTTGTGGTCCGTGAACACTGAAGAACGCTGCACATCCAGATATTCCCTAAAGTGGGTTACATCGTATACTACCGCCAGTAGCTCCTTCGTCGGTGTGGCATAATTCTGCTGTGCCTGATTCATTGTTTTGCTGAAGAACATAAAGTAATGTTTCTTCGAGTCAACCGATTGAAATAGCGCTTCCCCCAAGCCGTAGTCACTGGCATCGGTTTCGAGATTCAGCGGAACGTCATCCACCGGGAAATTCAGTGCTACTGCGTTCACGATCGCTTCCTTCATAGCCAGCCATGCTGCTGCATGTCGTTCCTCCCAGCGGTTCCCAATGAATTCGTTGGGGTTGAGCTTGCAATATTCCCGTAAGGGTGCTACGATATGAGCGAAGTTCGGCAGATGTTCGTGGAGAAAGTTTGCGAGTCCTAATATCGAAGCAATATCCTTGTATAATTGAGGCATCGGCCAATATAGTAACTTCGCTTGCTTTTCATGGTCGACGTCTATTCCTTGTGCTGATACTCTCTTCCCGAGGATCATCATCTCTGCTATCGCAATATGGCACTTCTGCGCATTTTCCTTAAAACTATGATAAGTCAGCCGACGAATCACCTCTCTTGTAGTCTGTATGTATTCGTCTAAGTCATCCCCTGATATCACTGTGTGATGGACGGGCAGACCGTCCAAAGTCGTGCTGAGAGTTCTCTGAAACTGTTAAGTCAGCACATGAAGCCCAAAAGATGCTGAAATAGACGAGCGAGTATTAATAGCGATCATGTGTAAAGCTAAGCAGATACTGAGAGTCGGGATGGATTGAAAGCTGATGGTATGCAGCTGATATGTCCAACGTCGTACAGTACCTGTGGCTCTTGAGGCGGGAGATAATTTCATTAACTTTGGGGATCAGAAATTGATCACCTGGGGTAATAGCATTCACGGCTCGCTTATCCATGCACACTCGTACCTTCTTCACTTGCCCCTCACCGTCGAGAGTGGGCACGGCCAACAATGGCAGGTTCATTGTCGTAGGAGTGGACCGTTTGACAATCACCGGGACCTTTAGTCATTTATGTACCTGCTCCTCGACATATGGAAGCCATCTGTCAGACACAAAATTCCGGATGAATCGTCACATACTTATCACCTAGTCCCTTGTAACCGGAATAGCCATCTTCGCTGCCTGCTAGACGACAACGGGCGCTATTCGCAATCGCGGCGTTATCGTTGAGCTTTGACCGCAGGCATTCCCGTACTCCAACAGGTTCAGTAGTGTTTGGAGCTTGCCGACGTGGTAGTGGTGTCAATAAGTCGTCGAGAGCCGTATGATCGATTGTCGCTAATGGGGATTATACTCCTCCGAATATAATCCTAATCCCGGCATAACATCAAGTCCCAGTATCATATCAATGCCCTCCGGTACGTTCATCAATTCTAATGATCCTTGAGTAATTCCGGATGAATCGTCACATACTCATCGCTTAGTCCCTTGTAACCGGAATAGCCACCTTCGCTGCCTGCTAGACGACAACGGGCGCTATTCGCAATCGCGGCGTTATCGTTGAGCTTTGACCGCAGGCAGTCCCGTACTCCAACAGGTTCAGTAGTGTTTGGAGCTTGCCGACGTGGTAGTGGTGTCAATAAGTCGTCGAGAGCCGTATGATCGATTGGCGCTAATGGGGATTATACTTCTCCCAATATAATCCTAATCCCGGCATAACATCAAGTCCCAGTATCATATCAATGCCCTCCGGTACGTTCATCAATTCTAATGATCCTTGAGTAATCTCGGTACCGTATCGAATCAGTAATATATCCGTCGTCCCTGGACGCGGAGTACGCACCGCCTTATCCGTCAAATATATATACGACCCCGGTGGTGCTGGGGTGACGGGACGGATATGGAGATTTGCGGATGTCGTCGAGATGCAAATTCTGTTCGCCCCGGTGTCGACCAATACCCTGAACGTACGTCCATTGAATTGTAGCTGAATGTAGACCCTATTATCTGTACTGATCAAGGGTTCACGGATAGTTATTACCCAGTTCATAGAGTCTCTAGACGTCAAAATTAAATCTTCATCTGACACCCCGATGTCCTATTGTTGTGGTTCTGTTGTCGACCAATAGTCTGGGTTCGGCTGTGAGTTTGTCGGCTCTGGTGTCCCAAATTCACTAGTGAGAATTGAATTGATGTGTACCTCAGTGGCGTTCGGTGTCGTTGTCACCCTTCCCTCTTCTGACACCATACTAATCTGCGGGCCCCCCAACGCCATGCTGGATGATCTATCTGTTGCCGTCTGTGTTCTTCCTGATGACTATAGTCCGCCTCCTCCACGATGAACCTGCTCTCGTCTGATCTATTGGGCGCACCCGATTGCCCGTTGCGTCTGATTGAGGATGACTATTATTCCAAAAAATATAACAACGTGGTATATGTCGTAAGCTTGAGGGTGCTTGTGCCTGACATCCGGAACAAACTGTGACTTGCGATGGTACTTGCGATATATGTTGCCAATTCTGTTGTTGCCGCTGGGCAGTCTGTGGAATAGGTCGGCTGTTCGTGTGTTCAGAACGTGACCATTCGCCCCCGTGCGGTCGTCGGTTCGTGAGTCGAGCCGTCGTACGGATCTGGGCCTCTTGTATATCCGGACTCAACAGTTGTGACAACGCATTTGTTTCCATGAGGTGCCAATTAGTATGCATCTGCAACGTGCGCTCGTATGTACGCGCCCCCAAGCTATCCTCCAATAACTGTACAATGCAGTGGTTAAGTAAACTCTGTTTGAAATCCGCATCATTCTGGCTACGTTCATGAGCGCGACGATGATTCTTCATTAGGCACGTCATTTGTTCAATAATCGGAAAAATTGTCAGCCTGACATGGCCTTTAGCTAGTTTCCGGAATGTTGGATCTACCGTTGCCTGAGTCTCAGTGCTCTTAACCGTATAACCTGGGTTCATATAGTGTTCTGTACCCATGTTCTATCTCCATGTGCGTACTATTCTTTGGTATCCACATTCCATGTGCATATATCCATGCGTATACCTAACCTAAACCTGCTGTCTTTTGATGTATTGTATATGCTCCCCTATTTTCCTTGTTAATATGTTACCCTAAACCTTGACACTTACACTGTTTAGCACTTATGACACACACTCCCTTTTCCATGGGTTACCCTGTATATCTCCATTGCCTGCCTTCCTAATTTTAATTACATGTGTTCGATTTTTTCAGCGACTTACCAGCCTTATTACTTCTTCTTACTTTATCTATTCATATTGTCGGGTCGTGCTATTGTTGTTTTCGCGTCCTTCCTCTTCCTGTACGTCTTCATTCGGGACATCAGCTCCTAACAATAGTCTTGATGCATTACTCGTGTTTTCTCCTCGTCTGTACGACTTCGTCGTTCCATGTCCGAATGATTATCTGATCTCCGCGCATGTTGCCCTTCATCTGTCTGTTCATCATTCGCATAACTTAACCATTGTCTCTGTATTATTCTGTGCATATGTATCAGCCGTCGCCGGACCGTCTGGGTTATACTTCAGTTACGTGGTCCTCCATGCTCCCTTGTCGGAGCCGGTCCGTCTCTTTCCCTGAGCGACTCCCTCTCTCCATCATTGTCATCGCTGCTGTTTGATATTAAACGATGGCATACTGGCTTTGCTGCTATATATTCCGTTATCGGAAGACTCATGATTTAGCTCATCTATCTATCCGTCTGTTACTGCCATGGGTGGGGTTGACCAAACCCTTACTTCTTCATCTGACATGTCAGCGAAAAACATCGCTGTTTTCACCTATACTTATTTTACCCTTCTTTGGGTTCTTGTCTAGATTCCTAGTCTTTAATTCTCTAAGATATTCAATACCTAACCAAGTTCTATCAGCTAGTTTAAAATGTAGTAAAACACGCTTCGATAACTATATCAACGTACCCCCCTCTCCAGAGGTCGGTCGTTGGTTATTTATTAACTATCTTTGGTCCATAAAACCATGTGTTTATTTGATCAGAAATACTGATCAAACAAACCCTAAACCTAGCTTAAAAATTCTACCAAAAAAAAACTAACAGTCCTGATTATGTATTCCTGACCACAACATTCGTCGGCGGATACTCTTGCTATTGTGCAGTATGTAGAGCAAACGAAGAACCTTAAGACTAACATCGATTCTGTAAATTTGATAATTAGACTGCAAAGTGGAGTAGGGCAATTAACTGCCGAGGTAGAGCCACGTATACAACACAAGGATTGTGTGTTTATATATGAAAT